TAGCCTAACAGTGGCCTTAAACATAGCCCTAACAGTGGCCTTAACATAGCCCTAACAGTGGCCTTAACATAGCCCTAACAGTGGCCTTAACATAGCCCTAACAGTGGCCTTAACATAGCCCTAACAGTGGCCTTAACATAGCCCTAACAGTGGCCTTAACATAGCCCTAACAGTGGCCTTAACATAGCCCTAACAGTGGCCTTAACATAGCCCTAACAGTGGCCTTAACATAGCCCTAACAGTGGCCTTAACATAGCCCTAACAGTGGCCTTAACATAGCCCTAACAGTGGCCTTAACATAGCCCTAACAGTGGCCTTAACATAGCCCTAACAGTGGCCTTAACATAGCCCTAACAGTGGCCTTAACATAGCCCTAACAGTGGCCTTAACATAGCCCTAACAGTGGCCTTAACATAGCCCTAACAGTGGCCTTAACATAGCCCTAACAGTGGCCTTAACATAGCCCTAACAGTGGCCTTAACATAGCCCTAACAGTGGCCTTAACATAGCCCTAACAGTGGCCTTAACATAGCCCTAACAGTGGCCTTAACATAGCCCTAACAGTGGCCTTAACATAGCCCTAACAGTGGCCTTAACATAGCCCTAACAGTGGCCTTAACATAGCCCTAACAGTGGCCTTAACATAGCCCTAACAGTGGCCTTAACATAGCCCTAACAGTGGCCTTAACATAGCCCTAACAGTGGCCTTAACATAGCCCTAACAGTGGCCTTAAACATAGCCCTAAACAGTGGCCTTAACATAGCCCTAACAGTGGCCTTAACATAGCCCTAACAGTGGCCTTAACATAGCCCTAACAGTGGCCTTAACATAGCCCTAACAGTGGCCTTAACATAGCCCTAACAGTGGCCTTAACATAGCCCTAACAGTGGCCTTAACATAGCCCTAACAGTGGCCTTAACATAGCCCTAACAGTGGCCTTAACATAGCCCTAACAGTGGCCTTAACATAGCCCTAACAGTGGCCTTAACATAGCCCTAACAGTGGCCTTAACATAGCCCTAACAGTGGCCTTAACATAGCCCTAACAGTGGCCTTAACATAGCCCTAACAGTGCCTTAACATAGCCCTAACAGTGGCCTTAACATAGCCCTAACAGTGGCCTTAACATAGCCCTAACAGTGGCCTTAACATAGCCCTAACAGTGGCCTTAACATAGCCCTAACAGTGGCCTTAACATAGCCCTAACAGTGGCCTTAACATAGCCCTAACAGTGGCCTTAACATAGCCCTAACAGTGGCCTTAACATAGCCCTAACAGTGGCCTTAACATAGCCCTAACAGTGGCCTTAACATAGCCCTAACAGTGGCCTTAACATAGCCCTAACAGTGGCCTTAACATAGCCCTAACAGTGGCCTTAACATAGCCCTAACAGTGGCCTTAACATAGCCCTAACAGTGGCTTAACATAGCTACAGTGGCCTTAACATAGCCCTAACAGTGGCCTTAACATAGCCCTAACAGTGGCCTTAACATAGCCCTAACAGTGGCCTTAACATAGCCCTAACAGTGGCCTTAACATAGCCCTAACAGTGGCCTTAACATAGCCCTAACAGTGGCCTTAACATAGCCCTAACAGTGGCCTTAACATAGCCCCTAACAGTGGCCTTAACATAGCCCTAACAGTGGCCTTAACATAGCCCTAACAGTGGCCTTAACATAGCCCTAACAGTGGCCTTAACATAGCCCTAACAGTGGCCTTAACATAGCCCTAACAGTGGCCTTAACATAGCCCTAACAGTGGCCTTAACATAGCCCTAACAGTGGCCTTAACATAGCCCTAACAGTGGCCTTAACATAGCCCTAACAGTGGCCTTAACATAGCCCTAACAGTGGCCTTAACATAGCCCTAACAGTAGCCTTAACATAGCCCTAACAGTGGCCTTAACATAGCCCTAACAGTGGCCTTAACATAGCCCTAACAGTGGCCTTAACATAGCCCTAACAGTGGCCTTAACATAGCCCTAACAGTGGCCTTAACATAGCCCTAACAGTGGCCTTAACATAGCCCTAACAGTGGCTTTAACATAGGCCTAACAGTGGCCTTAACATAGCCCTAAACATGCCTATAATATAGAACAAGGGAACGGATGGAATCAGTGGAACATTTAGAACAACTAACACTGGAGGAATGAATGGAATGAGTGGAACACATGTGGTACAAATGGATTAAATAAAGCTCTTGAAACATGTGGAATGGGTGAAACAAATAAAATCTAAACATTTGGAACGAATGGAATTAGTGGAACATTTGGAACGAATGGAATCGGAACATTTGGAACAAGTGGAATCGGTGGAACATTTGGAACGAATGGAATCGGAACATTTGGAACGAATGGAATAGGTGGAACATTTGGAACGAATGGAAGTAGGGAAACACTTGGAACAAGTGGAAACGGTGAAACATTTGGAACAAATGGAATAGGTGGAACATTTGGAACGAATGGAATTAGTGGAACACTTGGAACGAATGGAATTGAAACATTTGGAACGAATGGAATCGGAACATTTGGAACAAGTGGAATCGGTGGAACATTAGGAACGAATGGAATAGGTGGAACATTTGGAACAAGTGGAATCGGTGGAACATTTGGAACAAATGGAATCGGAACATTTGGAACAAATGGAATAAGTGGAACACTTGGAACGAATGGAATCGGAACAATTGGAACAAGTGAAATCGGTGGAACATTTGGAACGTCTGGAATTAGTGGAACACTTGGAACAAATGGAAGCGCAACATTTGGAACAAGTGGAATTGGTGAAACATTTGAAACGAATGGAATAGGTGGAACAATTGGAACGAATGGAATTAATGGAACACTTGGAACAAATGGAATCGGAACATTTGGAACAAGTGGAATCGGTGGAACATTTGGAACAAATGGGATTGGTGGAACACATGGAACGAATGGGATTGGTGGAACTAATGAAACGAATAAGATGGGTGGAACAAATGGAATCGGTAAAACATTTGAAAAAATTTGAATTAATGAAACATTTAAAAAAACTTGGTGTAAGTTTTGTAAGCTTTTGCGCAAGCTTTGTGTAATATTTATGAAAGCTTTATAAAAGCTTTATAAAAGCTTTATAAAAGCTTTATAAAAGCTTTATAAAAGCTTTATAAAAGCTTTATAAAAGCTTTATGAAAGCTTTTTAAAAGCTTTATGAACGCGTTATAAAAGATTAATAAACGTTTTTCAAAAGCTTAATGAAAGCTTTATGTAAGCTTTATGAAAGCTTTATGTAAGCTTTATGAAAGCTCTATGTAAGCTTTATGTATGCTTTATTTAAGTTTGACGTAAGCATTATGTGCGCTTTATGTAAGCTGTACTTTAGCTTTATTTAAGCTTTATGTTAAATGCATGTAGAATTCATGTAAATAACATGTCGAATTGATGTAGAAATGATGTAGAATTAATGTAGAATTGATGTAGAATTGATGTAAAATTGATGTAAAATTGATGTAAAATTGATGTAGAATTGATGTAGAATTGATGAAGAATTGATGTAGAATTGATGTAGAATTGATGTAGAATTGATGTAGAATTGATATAGAATTGATGTAGAATTGATGTAAAATTGATGTAGAATTGATGTAGAATTAATGTAGAATTAATGTAGAATTAATGTAGAATTCATGTAGAATTCATGTAGAATTCATGTAGAATTCATGTAGAATTCATGTAGAATTCATGTAGAATTCATGTAGAATTCATGTAGAATTCATACGAATTCATGTAGAATGCATGTAGAATTCGTGTAGAATTCATGTAGAATTCGTGTAGAATTCATGTAGAATTTGTGTAGAATTCATGTAGAATTCATGTAGAATTCATGTAGATACCATGTAGATGCCATGTAGAATTCATGTAGAATTCATGTAGATAACATGTAGATAACATGTAGATAACATGTAGATAACATGTAGATAACATGTAGATAACATGTAGATAACATGTAGATAACATGTAGATAACATGTAGATAACATGTAGATAACATGTAGATAACATGTAGATAACATGTAGATAACATGTAGATAACATGTAGATAACATGTAGATACATGTAGATAACATGTCGAATTCATGTAGATAACATAGAATCCATGTAGGTACCATGTAGAATTCATGTAGAATGTATGTAAAATTCAGGTTGATAACATGGATAGTTCATGAAAATAACATGTAAAATTCATGTTTATAACAGTTAAAATGCATGTATATACCATTTAGAATTCATGTAGACAACATTTAGAATTCACGTAGGTAACTTTTTTCTAATATGTAGACCCAGCCCTGCCAAAGCAGTCAGCTAAAGTTTGGCCAATCTATAGCAGGCCAAGGATCCTCTCTTTCTAGAACGAAAATTAGTTTATTATTATTTTTTTTTTAGGGTCGTCAATGTAGTAGTCATTCTGGCGGCCAAGGATTTCGTGTTGGTGTTCATTTGACGGTGTGCAAAGTGCCAGCCCCTTTGCTGATTTCTATGTGCCCCATTAGTGTATTTGGCCAGGCTATAAATTTGTTGTTTTAGTAGTCATTGAAGCGCGGATTTTTTGGTATTCTTGGTACGACCAGCAATTTGAACCTTCTTCAGTATTGTTGCATTTATTGAGTATTATCGTAGTTGCTTGGCATTTCTTGGCGTTTGGTTGGCGATATGTGAGGTATCGATTGTTTGTCGATTGATTTATACCGCTTAAGTATATTTGGCCAGAGTATACTATATAGCGTGGTCATTTTTAGCCGTAGTTTGCATGCTTTAAGTTAAAAAACACTTGCGTTTGTTTACTTTCTTTTTTAGGTCAGAGTGTGTTACGTTTACGTTTTTCATTGCGTTTCAGTATTGTAGGCGAGAACAGCTGATAGCTTGAAACATCTGGCCCGTTCAAAGTGACTCACGTTTACGTTTTTATTACTTTTCAATCACGTTTTAGATTACGTTTTAGATTACGATTCAGATTACGTTTCAGTATTTTTGCAGCCAGAATCAGCTTGTTCATCAAAACATAAAGTGCAAGGTGTTTAGAGTTGGTACAAAAGGCAACTGTGTTTACTTTTGCAGGGAGTGAAATTGGCATTTAATTGACCTTATCTTCAGCAGCAAATCGGATCGGAGATAAGAAGCATTGAGCCGCAGCTCGAACATCCACGAAGTACATCCCATCATTCAGCATCAGTGGCTTGTCATCCCGGCAGTTGCGCTCTTTATTGTATTGTTTTAATTTTTCCGACATATGAACTAGCACCAAACGATCGCTATAAACAAAAAAACATAATCGCAGCAAAAATAAATAATCCGTGTCCGTTATTTGAGGTTGTTTGCTGGTAAAAACAGTCATGCTTTTAGCTAAGACCCAATTTAGCCAACTTTCGACATAAAATATCAACAGAAAACTTTTGTTCTTGCCATAAGTTATAAATCCAAATTTTCACTAAATAATATCAGTATTTTGTCCAAGGCAACTCAACAAATAGTTAAAATGAGGAGTGTCATACCGCGTTGAGTTTGTAATAAAATATCCAATCGATTGGCATTTAAACCTAAAAACGTTCATTTTTGTCAAATTTTAGGTTATTATTAGGTTGTTTGCTGGTAAAAACAGTCTTGCTTTCAGCTAAGACCCAATTTAGCCAACTTTAGACGTAAAATATCAACAGAAAAACTTTTGCTCTTGCCATAAGTTTTAAATTTAAATTTTCACTAAATAATATCAGTATTTTGTCCAAGGCAACTCAACAAATAGTTAAAATGAAGAGTGTCATACCGCCTTGAGTTTGTAATAAAATGTCCAATCGATTGGCATTTAAACCTAAAAACGTTCATTTTTGTCAAATTTTGGCAAAAAAAAAAAAAACGATTCAACAACTTATGAAAAATGCAAAAATCGGCCAATTATTTAAGTCTCCTAAGTCTACCCGATAATCATTTGGATCGTTAACCGAGGTTGTTAGCTGGTAAACACAATCATTTTTTTTTAGCTGACACCAAATTTATCCAACTTACGACAAAAAATATCAATGGAAAAATTTCTGTTCTTGCCATAAGTTATAAATCCAAATCTTTCACTAAATATTTTCAGTATTTGGTCCGAAGCAACTCAAAAAATGATCCAAATAAGGAGAGTCATACCGCGTTGAGTTCGTAACAAAATTTACAACCAATTGGCACTCAAACCTGAAAACGGTAATTTTTGTCAATTTTTGGCCAAAAAAAAAACGTTAACCTCTATGAAAAATGCAAAAATCGGCCAATAAATTAGGTCTCCTTAGATCGTTAGCTGAGGTTGTTTGCTGGTAAAACCATTAGTTACTTTAGTTTTCAGTTGTAGTTGTATATAAGTACTATTTTAAATTGGAATCAGCAACAGCTGTATCTAAACTTGATAGCTGGTTATTTTAGACCATATTTATAGATTGTGTTGATTTTAGATTTAAACTGTCCGCTTATTTTATTGAAATATCTATGAACTCTTATTATTTTATCCACTCACCTGATTTCATTGTTAATCCGTGAGTGCTTTTGCGTTAAGCCGTTTGTGCTTCGTTCGGCTGTAAGGAAATAGATTTTATAAATGAGATATACATACATATAACTACCATAAATAAGATATACATGCTGTGTGCTATAAGTAAAAAAAAAATTGGCCAAATTACCTTTTAGAATAAATCGCTCGTCGACAAAAAATATCAACGGAAAAATTCCTGTTCTTGCCATAAGTGATGAATCCAATTTTTTCACTTAATAGTATCAGTATTTTATCCGAGGCAACTCAACAAATGAGAAGTGTCATACCGCGTTAAGTTCGTAATAATATTGCCAATCGATAGACACTCAAACCTGAAAATGGTAATTTTTGTCAATTTTTGGCACAAAAAAATAAAACATTAGCCCCTTATGAAAAATGCAAAAATCGGCCATAAAAACAGTCATACTTTCGGCTGAGACCCAATGTAGCCATCTTTTGACATAAAATATCAACGGAAAAATTCTTGTTCTTGCCATAAGTTATGAATCCACATTTGATCTAAATATTATCAGTATTTTGTACGCGGCAATATAACAAATGGTCCAAAAGAGGAGTGTCATACCGCGTTGAGTTCGTAATAAAATTTGCAATCGATTGGCACTCAAACGTGAAAACGGTATTTTTTTGTCAATTTTTGGCACAAAAAAAAAATAACAATAGCCCCTTATGAAAAATGCAAAAATCGGACATTTATTTAAGTCTCCTAAGTCCACCCGAATATCATTTGGATCGTTTATTGCGATAGATTACGTTTACTTAATAACTTCATTCTTAACTACATATTCAAAAATATATATTTCAGTACTAGAAATAACACAACCTTTTAATTTTATTATATTTCATGTATCTTAATAGAAAGAAAATCTCGAGCCACCCTCGTTTTCTTCGTTAGAACTCGGACGCTGCGATTGGCGTGTTGCCCGCCCAATTCGTTAGAAGAGGACAGCAATACCTACGCCGCCATTTTATTAAGGCTTGTGCGTCGTAAGCCGGCGTATTGCTGACATAATGCGTTAGAAGAAGACGGCAATACGCTCGTCGCCATTTTAACATAAATAGCTTATAATAATAATAAGGTGGTCCCAAAACACATCGTTTCAATTTGTCCGACATAAATTTACCCGAAAATTATTTGGATCGTTAGCTAAGGTTGTTAGCTGGTAAAAACAGTCATACTTTTGGCTGAGACCCAATGTAGCCATCTTTTGACATAAAATATCAACGGAAAAATTCTTGTTCTTGCCATAAGTTATGAATCCACATTTGAAATAAATATTATCAGTATTTTGTACGGGGCAATATAACAAATGGTCGAAAAGAGGAGTGTCTTACCGCGTTGAGTTCGTAATAAAATTTGCAATCGATTGGCACTCAAACGTGAAATCGGTATTTTTTGTCAATTTTTGGCACAAAGAATAAATAACAATAGCCCCTTATGAAAAATGCAAAAATCGGACATTTATTTAAGTCTCCTAAGTCTACCCGAATATCATTTGGATCGTTTATTGCGATAGATTACATTTACTTAATAACTTCATTCTTAACTATATATTTAAAAATATATATTTCAGTACTAGAAATAACACAACCTTTTAATTTTATTATATTTCATGTATCTTAATAGAAAGAAAATCTCGAGCCACCCTCGCTTTCTTCGTTAGAACTCGGACGCTGCGATTGGCGTGTTGCCCGCCCAATTCGTTAGAAGAGGACAGCAATACCTACGCCGCCATTTTATTAAGGCTTGTGCGTCGTAAGCCGGCGTATTGCTGACATAATGCGTTAGAAGAAGACGGCAATACGCTCGTCGCCATTTTAACATAAATAGCTTATAATAATAATAAGGTGGTCCCAAAACACATCGTTTTAATTTGTCCGACATAAATTTACCCGAAAATTATTTGGATCGTTAGCTAAGGTTGTTAGCTGGTAAAAACAGTCATACTTTCGGCTGAGACCCAATGTAGCAATCTTTTGACATAAAATATCAACGGAAAAATTCTTGTTCTTGCCATAAGTTATTAATCCACATTTGATCTAAATATTATCAGTATTTTATCCGAGGCAACTCAACAAATGGTCCAAATAAGGACCGCCATACCGCGTTGAGTTCGTAATGAAATTTGCAATCGATTGGCACTCAAACGTGAAAACGGTAATTTTTGTCAATTTTAGGCACAAAAAAAAATTACATTAGCCCCTCATGAAAAATGCAAAAATCGGCCATTTATTTAAGTCTCCTAAGTCTACCAGAAAATCAATTGGATCGTTAACCGAGGTTGTTAGGTGGTAAAAACAATCATTTTTTTAGCTGACACCAAATCAAGCAAACTTACGACAATAAGTTACAAATTCAAATTTTTAACTAAATAATTTCAGTATTTTATCCGAGGAAACTCAACTAATGGTCCAAGTAAGGAGCGCCATACCGCGTTGAGTTCGTAATAAAATTTGCAATCGATTGGCACTCAAACGTGAAATCGGTATTTTTTGTCAATTTTTGGCACAAAAAAAAAATAAGAATAGCCCCTTATGAAAAATGCAAAAATCGGACATTTATTTAAGTCTCCTGAGTCTACCCGAATATCATTTGGATCGTTTATTGCGAAAAATTACATTTACTTAATAACTTCATTCTTAACTTCATATTTAAAAATATATATTTCAGTACTAGAAATAACACAACCTTTTAATTTTATTATATTTCATGTATCTTAATAGAAAGAAAATCTCGAGCCACCCTCGTTTTCTTCGTTAGAACTCGGACGCTGCGATTGGCGTGTTGCCCGCCCAATTCGTTAGAAGAGGACAGCAATACCTACGCCGCCATTTTATTAAGGCTTGTGCGTCGTAAGCCGGTGTATTGCTGACATAATGCGTTAGAAGAAGACGGCAATACGCTCGTCGCCATTTTAACATAAATAGCTTATAATAATAATAAGGTGGTCCCAAAACACATCGTTTATAATTTGTCCGACATATGAACTAGCACAAACATTAGATATAAGCAACGCTAAAAACTAATCGCACCTAATATAAATAGTCCGTATACGTTATCTGAAAAAACACGATTCAACCACTTATGAAAAATGCAAAAATCGGTCATATATTTAAATCTCTTAAATTTGCCCGAAAATTATTTGCATCGTTAGCTGAGGTTGTTAGCTGGTAAAAACAGTCATACTTTCCGCTGAGACCCAATGTAGCCATCTTTTGACATAAAATATCAACGGAAAAATTCTTGTTCTTGCCATAAGTTATGAATCCACATTTGATCTAAATATTATCAGTATTTTATCCGAGGCAACTCAACAAATGGTCCAAATAAGGACCGCCATACCGCGTTGAGTTCGTAATGAAATTTGCAATCGATTGGCACTCAAACGTGAAAACGGTAATTTTTGTCAATTTTAGGCACAAAAAAAAATTACATTAGCCCCTTATGAAAAATGCAAAAATCGGCCATTTATTTAAGTCTCCTAAGTCTACCAGAAAATCAATTGGATCGTTAACCGAGGTTGTTAGGTGGTAAAAACAATCATTTTTTTAGCTGACACCAAATCAAGCAAACTTACGACAATAAGTTACAAAAAATTTAAATTTTTAACTAAATAATTTCAGTATTTTATCCGAGGAAACTCAACTAATGGTCCAAGTAAGGAGCGCCATACCGCGTTGAGTTCGTAATGAAATTTGCAATCGATTGGCACTCAAACCTGAAAACGGTAATTTTTGTCAATTTTTGGCACAAAAAAAAATAACATTAACCCCTTACGAAAATTGCAAAAATCGGCCAATTAATTAAGTCTCCTAAGTCTACCCGAAAATCATTTGGATCGTTAACCGAGGTTGTTAGCTGGTAAAAACAATCATTTTTTTTTAGCTGACACCAAATTTATCCAACTTACGACAAAAATATCAATGGAAAAATTCCTGTTCTTGCCATAAGTTATAAATCCAAATCTTTCACTAAATATTTTCAGTATTTGGTCCGAAGCAACTCAAAAAATGGTCCAAATAAGGAGAGTCATAACGCGTTGAGTTTGTAATAAAATTTACAACCAATTGGCACTCAAACCTGAAAACGGTAATTTTTGTCAATTTTTGGCCAAAAAAAAAAACGTTAACCTCTATGAAAAATGCAAAAATCGGCCAATTAATTAGGTCTCCTTAGATCGTTAGCTGAGGTTGTTTGCTGGTAAAACCATTAGTTACTTTAGTTTTCAGTTGTAGTTGTATAATATAAGTACTATTTTAAATTGAAATCAGCAACAGCTGTATCTAAACTTGATAGCTGGTTATTTTAGACCATATTTATAGATTGTGTTGATTTTAGATTTAAACTGTCCGCTTATTTTATTGAAATATCTATGAACTCTTATTATTTTATCCACTCACCTGATTTCATTGTTAATCCGTGAGTGCTTTTGCGTTAAGCCGTTTGTGCTTCGTTCGGCTGTAAGGAAATAGATTTTATAAATGAGATATACATACATATAACTACAATAAATAAGATATACATGCTGTGTGCTAAAGGTAAAAAAAAAATTGGCCAAATTACCTTTTAGAATAAATCGCTCGTCGACAAAAAATATCAACGGAAAAATTCCTGTTCTTGCCATAAGTGATGAATCCAATTTTTTCACTATCAGTAGTATCACTAGTATCAGTATTTTATACGAGGCAACTCAACAAATGAGAAGTGTCATACCGCGTTAAGTTCGTAATAATATTGCCAATCGATAGACACTCAAACCTGAAAATGGTAATTTTTGTCAATTTTTGGCACAAAAAAATAAAACATTAGCCCCTTATGAAAAATGCAAAAATCGGCCATAAAAACAGTCATACTTTCGGCTGAGACCCAATGTAGCCATCTTTTGACATAAAATATCAACGGAAAAATTCTTGTTCTTGCCATAAGTTATGAATCCACATTTGATCTAAATATTATCAGTATTTTGTACGCGGCAATATAACAAATGGTCCAAAAGAGGAGTGTCATACCGCGTTGAGTTCGTAATAAAATTTGCAATCGATTGGCACTCAAACGTGAAAACGGTATTTTTTGTCAATTTTTGGCACAAAAAAAAAATAACAATAGCCCCTTATGAAAAATGCAAAAATCGGACATTTATTTAAGTCTCCTAAGTCTACCCGAATATCATTTGGATCGTTTTTTGCGATAGATTACATTTACTTAATAACTTCATTCTTAACTACATATTTAAAAATAAATATTTCAGTACTAGAACTAACACAACCTTTTAATTTTATTATATTTCATGTATCTTAATAGAAAGAAAATCTCGAGCCACCCTCGTTTTCTTCGTTAGAACTCGGACGCTGCGATTGGCGTGTTGCCCGCCCAATTCGTTAGAAGAGGACAGCAATACCTACGCCGCCATTTTATTAAGGCTTGTGCGTCGTAAGCCGGCGTATTGCTGACATAATGCGTTAGAAGAAGACGGCAATACGCTCGTCGCCATTTTAACATAAATAGCTTATAATAATATTAAGGTGGTCCCAAAACACATCGTTTATAATTTGTCCGACATATGAACTAGCACAAACATTAGATATAAGCAACGCTAAAAACTAATCGCACCTAAAATAAATAGTCCGTATACGTTATCTGAAAAAACACGATTCAACCACTTATGAAAAATGCAAAAATCGGTCATATATTTAAATCTCCTAAATTTACCCGAAAATTATTTGGATCGTTAGCTAAGGTTGTTAGCTGGTAAAAACAGTCATACTTTCGGCTGAGACCCAATGTAGCCATCTTTTGACATAAAATATCAACGGAAAAATTCTTGTTCTTGCCATAAGTTATGAATCCACATTTGATCTAAATATTATCAGTATTTTGTACGCGGCAATATAACAAATGGTCCAAAAGAGGAGTGTCATACCGCGTTGAGTTCGTAATAAAATTTGCAATCGATTGGCACTCAAACGTGAAAACGGTATTTTTTGTCAATTTTTGGCACAAAAAAAAAATAACAATAGCCCCTTATGAAAAATGCAAAAATCGGACATTTATTTAAGTCTCCTAAGTCTACCCGAATATCATTTGGATCGTTTTTTGCGATAGATTACATTTACTTAATAACTTCATTCTTAACTACATATTTAAAAATAAATATTTCAGTACTAGAACTAACACAACCTTTTAATTTTATTATATTTCATGTATCTTAATAGAAAGAAAATCTCGAGCCACCCTCGTTTTCTTCGTTAGAACTCGGACGCTGCGATTGGCGTGTTGCCCGCCCAATTCGTTAGAAGAGGACAGCAATACCTACGCCGCCATTTTATTAAGGCTTGTGCGTCGTAAGCCGGCGTATTGCTGACATAATGCGTTAGAAGAAGACGGCAATACGCTCGTCGCCATTTTAACATAAATAGCTTATAATAATATTAAGGTGGTCCCAAAACACATCGTTTATAATTTGTCCGACATATGAACTAGCACAAACATTAGATATAAGCAACGCTAAAAACTAATCGCACCTAAAATAAATAGTCCGTATACGTTATCTGAAAAAACACGATTCAACCACTTATGAAAAATGCAAAAATCGGTCATATATTTAAATCTCCTAAATTTACCCGAAAATTATTTGGATCGTTAGCTAAGGTTGTTAGCTGGTAAAAACAGTCATACTTTCGGCTGAGACCCAATGTAGCCATCTTTTGTCATAAAATATCAACGGAAAAATTCTTGTTCTTGCCATAAGTTATGAATCCACATTTGATCTAAATATTATCAGTATTTTATCCGAGGCAACTCAAAAAATGGTCCAAATAAGGACCGCCATACCGCGTTGAGTTCGAAATAAAATTTGCAATCGATTGGCACTCAAACGTGAAAACGTTATTTTTTGTCAATTTTTGGCATTAAAAAAAAATAACAATAGCCCCTTATGAAAAATGCAAAAATCGGACATTTATTTAAGTCTCCTAAGTCTACCCGAATATCATTTGGATCGTTAACCGAGGTTGTTAGGTGGTAAAAACAATCATTTTTTTAGCTGACACCAAATCAAGCAAACTTACGACAATAAGTTACAAAAAATTTAAATTTTTAACTAAATAATTTCAGTATTTTATCCGAGGAAACTCAACTAATGGTCCAAGTAAGGAGCGCCATACCGCGTTGAGTTCGTAATGAAATTTGCAATCGATTGGCACTCAAACCTGAAAACGGTAATTTTTGTCAATTTTTGGCACAAAAAAAAATAACATTAACCCCTTACGAAAATTGCAAAAATCGGCCAATTAATTAAGTCTCCTAAGTCTACCCGAAAATCATTTGGATCGTTAACCGAGGTTGTTAGCTGGTAAAAACAATCATTTTTTTTTAGCTGACACCAAATTTATCCAACTTACGACAAAAATATCAATGGAAAAATTCCTGTTCTTGCCATAAGTTATAAATCCAAATCTTTCACTAAATATTTTCAGTATTTGGTCCGAAGCAACTCAAAAAATGGTCCAAATAAGGAGAGTCATAACGCGTTGAGTTTGTAATAAAATTTACAACCAATTGGCACTCAAACCTGAAAACGGTAATTTTTGTCAATTTTTGGCCAAAAAAAAAAACGTTAACCTCTATGAAAAATGCAAAAATCGGCCAATTAATTAGGTCTCCTTAGATCGTTAGCTGAGGTTGTTTGCTGGTAAAACCATTAGTTACTTTAGTTTTCAGTTGTAGTTGTATAATATAAGTACTATTTTAAATTGAAATCAGCAACAGCTGTATCTAAACTTGATAGCTGGTTATTTTAGACCATATTTATAGATTGTGTTGATTTTAGATTTAAACTGTCCGCTTATTTTATTGAAATATCTATGAACTCTTATTATTTTATCCACTCACCTGATTTCATTGTTAATCCGTGAGTGCTTTTGCGTTAAGCCGTTTGTGCTTCGTTCGGCTGTAAGGAAATAGATTTTATAAATGAGATATTCATACATATAACTACAATAAATAAGATATACATGCTGTGTGCTAAAGGTAAAAAAAAAATTGGCCAAATTACCTTTTAGAATAAATCGCTCGTCGACAAAAAATATCAACGGAAAAATTCCTGTTCTTGCCATAAGTGATGAATCCAATTTTTTCACTATCAGTAGTATCACTAGTATCAGTATTTTATACGAGGCAACTCAACAAATGAGAAGTGTCATACCGCGTTAAGTTCGTAATAATATTGCCAATCGATAGACACTCAAACCTGAAAATGGTAATTTTTGTCAATTTTTGGCACAAAAAAATAAAACATTAGCCCCTTATGAAAAATGCAAAAATCGGCCATAAAAACAGTCATACTTTCGGCTGAGACCCAATGTAGCCATCTTTTGACATAAAATATCAACGGAAAAATTCTTGTTCTTGCCATAAGTTATGAATCCACATTTGATCTAAATATTATCAGTATTTTGTACGCGGCAATATAACAAATGGTCCAAAAGAGGAGTGTCATACCGCGTTGAGTTCGTAATAAAATTTGCAATCGATTGGCACTCAAACGTGAAATCGGTATTTTTTGTCAATTTTTGGCACAAAAAAAAAATAAGAATAGCCCCTTATGAAAAATGCAAAAATCGGACATTTATTTAAGTCTCCTGAGTCTACCCGAATATCATTTGGATCGTTTATTGCGAAAAATTACATTTACTTAATAACTTCATTCTTAACTTCATATTTAAAAATATATATTTCAGTACTAGAAATAACACAACCTTTTAATTTTATTATATTTCATGTATCTTAATAGAAAGAAAATCTCGAGCCACCCTCGTTTTCTTCGTTAGAACTCGGACGCTGCGATTGGCGTGTTGCCCGCCCAATTCGTTAGAAGAGGACAGCAATACCTACGCCGCCATTTTATTAAGGCTTGTGCGTCGTAAGCCGGTGTATTGCTGACATAATGCGTTAGAAGAAGACGGCAATACGCTCGTCGCCATTTTAACATAAATAGCTTATAATAATAATAAGGTGGTCCCAAAACACATCGTTTATAATTTGTCCGACATATGAACTAGCACAAACATTAGATATAAGCAACGCTAAAAACTAATCGCACCTAATATAAATAGTCCGTATACGTTATCTGAAAAAACACGATTCAACCACTTATGAAAAATGCAAAAATCGGTCATATATTTAAATCTCTTAAATTTGCCCGAAAATTATTTGCATCGTTAGCTGAGGTTGTTAGCTGGTAAAAACAGTCATACTTTCCGCTGAGACCCAATGTAGCCATCTTTTGACATAAAATATCAACGGAAAAATTCTTGTTCTTGCCATAAGTTATGAATCCACATTTGATCTAAATATTATCAGTATTTTATCCGAGGCAACTCAACAAATGGTCCAAATAAGGACCGCCATACCGCGTTGAGTTCGTAATGAAATTTGCAATCGATTGGCACTCAAACGTGAAAACGGTAATTTTTGTCAATTTTAGGCACAAAAAAAAATTACATTAGCCCCTTATGAAAAATGCAAAAATCGGCCATTTATTTAAGTCTCCTAAGTCTACCAGAAAATCAATTGGATCGTTAACCGAGGTTGTTAGGTGGTAAAAACAATCATTTTTTTAGCTGACACCAAATCAAGCAAACTTACGACAATAAGTTACAAAAAATTTAAATTTTTAACTAAATAATTTCAGTATTTTATCCGAGGAAACTCAACTAATGGTCCAAGTAAGGAGCGCCATACCGCGTTGAGTTCGTAATGAAATTTGCAATCGATTGGCACTCAAACCTGAAAACGGTAATTTTTGTCAATTTTTGGCACAAAAAAAAATAACATTAACCCCTTACGAAAATTGCAAAAATCGGCCAATTAATTAAGTCTCCTAAGTCTACCCGAAAATCATTTGGATCGTTAACCGAGGTTGTTAGCTGGTAAAAACAATCATTTTTTTTTAGCTGACACCAAATTTATCCAACTTACGACAAAAATATCAATGGAAAAATTCCTGTTCTTGCCATAAGTTATAAATCCAAATCTTTCACTAAATATTTTCAGTATTTGGTCCGAAGCAACTCAAAAAATGGTCCAAATAAGGAGAGTCATAACGCGTTGAGTTTGTAATAAAATTTACAACCAATTGGCACTCAAACCTGAAAACGGTAATTTTTGTCAATTTTTGGCCAAAAAAAAAAACGTTAACCTCTATGAAAAATGCAAAAATCGGCCAATTAATTAGGTCTCCTTAGATCGTTAGCTGAGGTTGTTTGCTGGTAAAACCATTAGTTACTTTAGTTTTCAGTTGTAGTTGTATAATATAAGTACTATTTTAAATTGAAATCAGCAACAGCTGTATCTAAACTTGATAGCTGGTTATTTTAGACCATATTTATAGATTGTGTTGATTTTAGATTTAAACTGTCCGCTTATTTTATTGAAATATCTATGAACTCTTATTATTTTATCCACTCACCTGATTTCATTGTTAATCCGTGAGTGCTTTTGCGTTAAGCCGTTTGTGCTTCGTTCGGCTGTAAGGAAATAGATTTTATAAATGAGATATACATACATATAACTACAATAAATAAGATATACATGCTGTGTGCTAAAGGTAAAAAAAAAATTGGCCAAATTACCTTTTAGAATAAATCGCTCGTCGACAAAAAATATCAACGGAAAAATTCCTGTTCTTGCCATAAGTGATGAATCCAATTTTTTCACTATCAGTAGTATCACTAGTATCAGTATTTTATACGAGGCAACTCAACAAATGAGAAGTGTCATACCGCGTTAAGTTCGTAATAATATTGCCAATCGATAGACACTCAAACCTGAAAATGGTAATTTTTGTCAATTTTTGGCACAAAAAAATAAAACATTAGCCCCTTATGAAAAATGCAAAAATCGGCCATAAAAACAGTCATACTTTCGGCTGAGACCCAATGTAGCCATCTTTTGACATAAAATATCAACGGAAAAATTCTTGTTCTTGCCATAAGTTATGAATCCACATTTGATCTAAATATTATCAGTATTTTGTACGCGGCAATATAACAAATGGTCCAAAAGAGGAGTGTCATACCGCGTTGAGTTCGTAATAAAATTTGCAATCGATTGGCACTCAAACGTGAAAACGGTATTTTTTGTCAATTTTTGGCACAAAAAAAAAATAACAATAGCCCCTTATGAAAAATGCAAAAATCGGACATTTATTTAAGTCTCCTAAGTCTACCCGAATATCATTTGGATCGTTTTTTGCGATAGATTACATTTACTTAATAACTTCATTCTTAACTACATATTTAAAAATAAATATTTCAGTACTAGAACTAACACAACCTTTTAATTTTATTATATTTCATGTATCTTAATAGAAAGAAAATCTCGAGCCACCCTCGTTTTCTTCGTTAGAACTCGGACGCTGCGATTGGCGTGTTGCCCGCCCAATTCGTTAGAAGAGGACAGCAATACCTACGCCGCCATTTTATTAAGGCTTGTGCGTCGTAAGCCGGCGTATTGCTGACATAATGCGTTAGAAGAAGACGGCAATACGCTCGTCGCCATTTTAACATAAATAGCTTATAATAATATTAAGGTGGTCCCAAAACACATCGTTTATAATTTGTCCGACATATGAACTAGCACAAACATTAGATATAAGCAACGCTAAAAACTAATCGCACCTAAAATAAATAGTCCGTATACGTTATCTGAAAAAACACGATTCAACCACTTATGAAAAATGCAAAAATCGGTCATATATTTAAATCTCATAAATTTACCCGAAAATTATTTGGATCGTTAGCTAAGGTTGTTAGCTGGTAAAAACAGTCATACTTTCGGCTGAGACCCAATGTAGCCATCTTTTGACATAAAATATCAACGGAAAAATTCTTGTTCTTGCCATAAGTTATGAATCCACATTTGATCTAAATATTATCAGTATTTTGTACGCGGCAATATAACAAATGGTCCAAAAGAGGAGTGTCATACCGCGTTGAGTTCGAAATAAAATTTGCAATCGATTGGCACTCAAACGTGAAAACGGTATTTTTTGTCAATTTTTGGCATTAAAAAAAAATAACATAGCCCCTTATGAAAAATGCAAAAATCGGACATTTATTTAAGTCTCCTAAGTCTACCCGAATATCATTTGGATCGTTAACCGAGGTTGTTAGGTGGTAAAAACAATCATTTTTTTAGCTGACACCAAATCAAGCAAACTTACGACAATAAGTTACAAATTCAAATTTTTAACTAAATAATTTCAGTATTTTATCCGAGGAAACTCAACTAATGCTCCAAGTAAGGAGCGCCATACCGCGTTGAGTTCGTAATAAAATTTGCAATCGATTGGCACTCAAACCTGAAAACGGTAATTTTTATCCATTTTTGGCACAAAAAAAAATAACATTAACACCTTACGAAAAATGCAAAAATCGGCCAATTATTTAAGTCTCCTAAGTCTACCCGAAAATCATTTGGATCGTTAACCGAGGTTGTTAGCTGGTAAAAACAATCATTTTTTTTTAGCTGACACCAAATTTAGCCAACTTACGACAAAAATATCAATGGAAAAATTCCTGTTCTTGCCATAAGTTATGAATCCAAATTGTTCACTAAATATTTTCAGTATTTGGTTCGAAGCAACTCAAAAAATGGTCCAAATAAGGAGAGTCATACCGCGTTGAGTTCGTAATAAAATTTACAACCAATTGGCACTCAAACCTGAAAACGGTAATTTTTGTCCATTTTTGGCCAAAAAAAAAAAAACGTTAGCCTCTATGAAAAATGCAAAAATCGGCCAATTAATTAGGTCTCCTTAGTCTACCCCAAAAATTATTTGGATCGTTAGCTGAGGTTGTTTGCTGGTAAAACCATTAGTTACTTTAGTTTTTAGTTGTAGTTGTATAATATAAGTACTATTTTAAATTGGAATCAGCAACAGCTGTATCTAAACTTGATAGCTGGTTATTTTAGACCATATTTATTGATTGTGTTGATTTTAGATGTAAACTGTCCGCTTATTTTATTGAAATATCTATGAACTCTTATTATTTTGTCCACTCACCTGATTTCGTTGTTAACCCGTGAGTGCTTTTGCGTTAAGCCGTTTGTGCTTCATTCGGCTGTAAAGAAATAGATTTTATAAATGAGATATACATACATATAACTACAATAAATAAGATATACATGCTGTGTGCTAAAAGAAAAAAAAATTGGGCAACTTACCTTTTAGAACAAATCGCTCGTCGACAAAAAATATCAACGGAAAAATTCCTGTTCTTGCCATAAGTGATGAATCCAATTTTTTCACTTAATAGTATCAGTATTTTATCCGAGGCAACTCAACAAATGAGAAGTGTCATACCGCGTTAAGTTCGTAATAATATTTCCAATCGATAGACACTCAAACCTGAAAATGGTATTTTTGTCAATTTTTGGCACAAAAAAATAACATTAACCCCTTATGAAAAATGCAAAAATCGGCCAGTTATTTAAGTCTCCTTAATCTTCCCAAAATTAATTTGAATCGTTAACTGAAATTGTAAACAACAGTCATTATTTTAAATAAGACCCAATTTAGCCATCTTACGACAACGGAAAATTCCTGTTCTTGCTATAAGTTATGAATCCAAATTTTTCACTAAATATTTTCAGTATTTGGTCCGAAGCAACTCAAAAAAATGGTCCAAATAAGAAGAGTCATACCGCGTTGAGTTCGTAATAAAATTTACAACCAATTGGCACTCAAACCTGAAAACGGTAATTTTTGTCCATTTTTGGCCAAAAAAAAAAAAACGTTAACCTCTATGAAAAATGCAAAAATCGGCCAATTAATTAGGTCTCCTTAACCTACCCCAAAAATTATTTGGATCGTTAGCTGAGGTTGTTTGCTGGTAAAACCATTAGTTACTTTAGTTTTCAGTTGTAGTTGTATAATATAAGTACTATTTTAAATTGGAATCAGCAAACAGCTGTATCTAAACTTGATAGCTGGTTATTTTAGTCCATAATTATTGATTGTGTTGATTTTAGATTTAAACTGTCCGCTTATTTTATTGAAATATCTATGAACTCTTTTTATTTAGTCCACTCACCTGATTTTATTGTTAATCCTTGAGTGCTTTTGCGTTAAGCCGTTTGTGCTTCATTCGGCTGTAAAGAAATAGATTTTATAAATGAGATATACGTACATATAACTACAATAAATAAGATATACATGCTGTGTGCTATAAGAAAAAAAAAATTGGCCAACTTACCTTTTAGAATAAATCGCTCGTCCACACGTCCGTCCTCTTTGAGTAGTCCCTGCTAGTGAGCACTGCTCACGCAGTTTGGTCAGAAAGAGAATAAAAGAGGGAGAGCGAAATAAATGATGGCCGCCGGCGCACACTGAATGCTTCAAAATGCACTGTGCCCAAAAATACCTAGCATTGAATTATATTCCATTGATTATTGCTTTTGCGTATATTAATACATACATATATATACAATTAGTAAATAGCTTATAAATAATGATTAATTCATTAATGAAAAATAAATAGAACAACTTAATAAAAAGTTAGTAATAAATAGTTTTGTATTGTACATGAACAAAAATTAATAATTATTATTAATGTAGAGGAAAAATTATGGTGAAGCATTCATTTTCATTTTCTTTAAATTAAACATCCCCTTTTTTTCTCCAAGTGAGCAAGCCGTTTGATTCCACCGTCATAGAGGGGTAGAGAGAGAGAGAAAGAACGGTACTTAAAGTCAAGGAGTGGAGTGAACACAAAGAGAGAGGGCGAAAAATACGTTACATTTTCGTTGAATACCGCGCATTAAAATATGTACATATGTAAGCATCTGAATAACGGAACGGAAAAAATGGATAAGACAAGGAAAGGAAATGGTACAGATGCGCAAAATAGCACAGGTCACTTGTCTGATTGGGTGGTGGTCTTTTTATTTTTTGTTTACGTTTCGTTGCTGGTTGCCAGAGATTAAAATGCAATGATGTAATTTAATGGTAATGTAATGGTGTTGAAAAAAAATTGCAATCATATAATCTTTTTAAGGGAGCAGAGCGAAATGTTAGGCAGAGGGGTTAGAGAGGGAAACATTTATTTACAATGAGTGCAGTATTTAAATATATTATTTTACCTTAGAAAAGGTACCAAATCTTTTAAGTTTAAAAATCGTTCAAAATGCCGTTGTCCTTACTCACCGTCGCTTTCTTCCGTTGCCAAAATGAAATCAGTTGCAAAATGAAACAAGAAATTTTATCTACATACATGCACACATGTATATGTAATTGCACTATATACCGGCACCTGATCACACACACATACATATATGTATATGCCGCATGTGCATGTTTAAGCACGCACGCCTACGCAGCACAGGTTAAACTGCGTCACCCACTAACTATACACACTTGTACGCATTACAATACCTTAGGTTATGAGTCCACCATATGTCGATTGTTTAACTATGAACTATTTAGCCACATAAGTTTACGTTTTTTTTGGTGGTGGGAGAGGCACCTTTTTGAATAAATTGTTCGGCCGCTGGCGTCGCCTCGTCGTTTTAAGCCATATTTTGTTTCCATCGCAGGTCGACTGCCACTCTTATTAACGAACTATTTGAACTAAAAAAAATGCAAAAAATCCACGAGTGCGCTTTGATGCGATGCGCCTCTCCATTCGTTAATTCAAAAATGTTTGGTGCTAAGGAGCGCCCCGCACATTTTGGCCAGGTGTTTTGTTGTTGCGGATTGAATTTCAATTACCCGAGAGCGTGACCGCGGGGAAAATGTTTTCTTTTATATCAATCTTTTTCTTTAGCGACAGCACTGCTTTGCATTTCAGATTTTTTGCGGGGCCTTTCTTACATTTCACGAGTTTTATTTCGAACAACCCACAACCGTTAAATTTTTTTTCGACTGCGCGCTCAGAAAAACGTAAGCAACCGTATGTCCGTAAAAAAAGGGAAATACGTAGTGAAATACGGTCCCACCAAAATGCTTACAGCGATAGCCGAGACACCCTCCAAACACTTGCGTGTGACCGCATTCGATATACCGTCGGGTATCGCTAGTCCATCTCTAGTAATCTAAGCTATTGGAATCCATCAGCTGTTTAGAAACATTTTTCGCCTTCCTGTCGCGTTTCCAAATTTCCAAAGGAAGAACTGAATAGACCCGTATCAGAAATGTCCGCCGGAGTGGAGGACATCAAGCTGGAAGCCCTGTCCCTCAGCGAGGGGATCCGGAAGTCGCCCGTCTGCATAATTGTGCTGGGGATGGCCGGCAGCGGCAAGACCACGTTTACTCGGAGTCTTATACAGCACGCCCAAGAGAAGTTCAATCCGTACGTGGTTAACTTGGACCCGGCGTGCCGGGAAGTGCCGTACGCTGCCCACGTGGACATCCGGGACACGGTCAACTACCGGGAGGTGATGAAGCAATATCAGTTGGGTCCAAACGGCGGCATAGTGACCGCCCTAAACATGTTCACCACCAAAATGTCTCAGTTTGCGGAACTAGTGCGTCGCGCCGGCGAGCGGGGCCACAAGTGGTGTGTGATCGATACGCCTGGACAGATTGAGGTTTTCACCTGGTCTGCATCCGGAAACATTATCACCGAGGGTTTGGCCACCATGTTCCCCACCATAGTGGTCTATGTTATGGATGTGGTGCGCAGCGCCTGTCCCACCACGTTCATGTCTAACATGCTCTACGCCTGTTCCATCCTGTACAAGACACGATTGCCATTCCTGGTGGCGCTGAATAAGGTATTGCGTTAATACGCCCTCCGAATTCATTACTAATCAATAATCCTTTCCTGCTTCCACCAGATCGACCTGCAGGACTGCAGCTTTGTGCTAGACTGGATGACAGACTTCGAGACCTTCCAGGAGGCTCTGGAGCAGGAGCAGACCTTCGTAAGCAACCTCACGCGCACCATGTCGCTCACTCTAGACACCTTCTACGAGAGTCTAAGCACTTGCGGCGTTTCGGCCATGACGGGCGTGGGCTTTGCCCAGCTCCTGAAGAAAATTCTTGACTGCGTGACGGAGTATGAGCGGGACTACAAGCCCGTGTACGAGAAGATGCGCCAGGAGCGATTGGCGGAGCAGGCAGCGGGTCCCAAACCTGCCGACAATGTGGAAGATGACGGCGTCCCAGTTAACCTGGGAAGGGATCTGCAGGTAGGAACAGTTTTTGAGTAATTGCTAACATACTTCATTGCTTTAAAATACCTAAGGATCCACCTGCGAACTCCGGAACCAGCGTATTTCTTATGGCTCCTGGTCTCGTGCCCCAATCCGCCGAGAATGACAAGGAAGAGGATATGGAGGAAGACCCGAAGGGCACCATGGAGGACCAGGACTTTCACAGCTTCGTGCTGAATCACCTTACTGCCCAGCAGAGCAAGCGGGACAAGTTGCAGCTAGAACAGTCTCAGACTTAGAGTGATATGGAACCCATTTCAGTTAGTATCTTTTAATATAGTTTTCCATAAAAATACATCAGCGGTCGGCAAGCAATACAATGACGGCAGAGACCGAGCAGAACTGTTTCCTAAGCCTATGCCTATGCTTCATTGCGAAGCGGCCGTCCGCTGATATAGATATTATAGTCATACATTTTTGCATGATTTTCAATGTGGAAATCAAGGGAGATTATTTTCCTTGAGATATGGAATCAAATACTTAATTTAGGACACACGTTTTCCATTGTTTTGAGATTTCTTCTTTATTATGCACTTTAACAAGCAAAAACATTCAATATAGTGTGTGTGTTTGTCATCTCCGGTCGGATATCTGTTTTGTGTATATGGATTTAGTTTAGCTTTGCAAATTAGTGATAACATATACATATGGAGGATATATCCCGCTTGTAAATGTAAATGCAAGCCTTATACTTTGCGTAACATATTTTTGTAAATATATATATATATATATATATATATATATATATATTATGTATATATTATGTGTGTATATATGTTGAGCAAATCAATTTTGCGTTGCGAGTGCCCCGCCCGATATCTTATGCTATATAGTTGCTTCTCTGGAGTTGTTTTTTTTATTATTGGTTGTCGCTTTAAATATTAGGCTTACAAAAATACAGATCATCTCAAATACTTGTCAATGCTTCACAGTTATACACAGTTTATGTAGACATACAATAGTCCCTCGCTACAAACTCTACTTCCTTGCTGGTTTTACTGCCCAATCTGAATTTATTCTGCAAGCTTTTTGGGTGTTTTATGTTTACTAGCTGTGCAGGATTCTAACATAAATTTGAATCCAGATTCTTGGCAGGCTAAATGCATCCCTCAACATTTTTGTGCTTTAAATCAAAAATAGTCCACGCTCGGCAAGGAGAAGCACTTTTTACGCAAAAAATATTCTTTTTCTGGACGTTTTCATTTGATTTGGGTGCGATTTCCTTGGGTTCACACGAAATTTAGATTTGGTTTTTTTTTTTTATTTTATGTATCTTACGATTTTATAGGTAAATTTTGCGGTACAGCGCGGCTTAGAGCAGCAAGAATTTTTAAAAGTGGATTACAAATTATACAAACTCATTTTTTTGAGTAAAATTATGTTAAAAAGAGCTCCCTTTATTAAGAAGTATTGTTGATGTAAATAAAGATTTAATATTTTGCATTGATATTGTTTTTTTCTTCCTTCGTGCTTTAAAACGCACTGTACCTGTTAGTATCCTAATTTCTTTGTGATAAATGGAAATTTTTAGGTTCAATCATAATTCTAATTTAGCAATTTAAATTATCGAGCTAGCTCAAGAATATTTCATATATATACGTATTTATATTCATACATTTATACGTATGTATCTTAATGGATCGAGGAATCAAGCTCTCACACACACATTCTCAAACACACACAGATGCACACAACATTTTGGGAAGGTAATAAGATACTTTCGAAAAACGAGTTATAAAAGCATTAAAGATTTTTTGGAAAACTATAAAAATTAGCTCGCTTGTGTTCATGTCGGTTCAGAAACAGTCTTCTTCATTTTTGGAAATATTTTTTTGTTTCCTTTCCGCTTGCTTTTTTTGTAGAAAGGGATGAAGAAACATAACAGAGAAAGTTTCTTAGGTTTCGGTTTAAGCATATTAGCTTGGCTTGTTGGACAGCGCTGAGATCCGCTATATTTACTATAGAGTATGGGGCATTCTTAGCTTAAATTACGCATGTCTCAAAAACGGAAGTGGGCAATATCCCAGCGATTTCGGACTGGTTAAGCAGGTCAATAAACAAAAGCTTCATTGAAAGGATAATTGGGAATTATCTGGGAATCATCTAGACGAGCTCCAATTAATCGTCGTCCGACATATTGGTGGCGGTCAGCAGGGTGGCGTTATCCTCGGTGCCCTGTTCCTCAATATCCTAAAAAATGTATAATGTCTCGGTCATAAACATTGATATTACGAAGCTTAGGAAATAAACATATTATATAACCCCCAAAAAAACTCTTCCAAAACTCTTTTTCTACAAAATATATGTTTTTATATATTTAGCAAATGTTTTGCTTGCTTCGTTACACTCCTGTTTTTTTATATTTTCTTTTTCTTTTGTTTTTATAAAAATAGTTTTACATGCGAATAGGACGATCGGAAATTGTTAAATCATTTGTCAGCAGTTAAACAATTTACTTATTACAAGGAAGAACAAGTAAAAAACACACGTTACATTAAGCTTGTGCTTTTTTCTTTTAATATATATTTTTTTTCATTTTTTGTGTATGTATAAAAATAAAAAAAATTGTTTAAAAAATGTTTTAAACTTAAAATGAAACAAAAACATTTAGGCTAAGGATAGTTTCTTTTGTGTGTCGAGGAAATAAATGCAGCATAAATGTTTGCAGTTGAAGTTTTAAGCTAAACGAGATTTTTCGATTCTAATCGTGGCTATAAATCTGCTATACTCAAGGCTCTGTTTATGGTGCTGCTCTCTCTATCTCTCTTTTGTTTTAAATTGGAAGTGTTCGGAAGATGTTGTTGCTCTAAGTTTCCTGGCTTCTCACTTGAGCTTCTGCTTGATGGGACTGGGCGAAGTTTGATCCGCTTCGGGCAGATCGCTCTCCTTTTTGCGCTTAACCTTGTCCTTGGGCGCTTTAGCAGGCTTTTTAGTTTGCAGCGCCAGCTTAGCCTCGCGCTTGGCCTCCTTTTTGGCCTCGCGCTTGGCGCGCAGTTGCTCCGTGATAAAGGAGAACACCAGGTAGCCTTGTAGAGCAATCAGACCGCCTAAAGCTAACAAGGACCTCAGTCCACCGATTCCGTAGTACAAGGTGAGCACTCCAATCACAGACGTGGCGAAGCGGATCAGGAAGAATACACCATTGTTGACCACTCGCAGCTTGGCCAGACGCTCCTCGCGATCGAAGACACCAATCAGCTGAAAGATGTGCGACAGCAACTCGCTTAAGTAGTGCAGCGTTAATAATACCAGGGCCAAGCGCTGGAAACTTAGCGTATATGCCAAGACAATCAGGGTGAAGCCGCTGATCGAGTGCACAATCTTCGGCTGCTGCTCTTCCTTGGTCTTGATCTTTTGGAAATACAGCTCCGGCAACATGTGCAGATAGTAGGCCAACTGCACCACAAAATAGAACTTGTGCAGGAAGCTCATAGGATGGTCGGGGAAGCTCTCCCACAGTTGGGCCACCTGGCCGAGATATCCCTCCTTTAGCATGACATGGGCGCCCCAGGCAAAGGACAGCAGATAGAAGGCGACCAGTTGGCCAGACTCGTTAAAACGGGCTAGCTTGAACTTTGACAGGTGCAGCTTTTTGCTGATCTTGTCCAGCACGAACTCCTGAATAATCGCGTGCATTATGATGCAGGTTAGCGTGTAGAAGAATATCGCACAGTAGTCCTTGATCCCTGCAATGTATGTGTAGGCCTTTCCATATGGCTGCTCCCTGCTGGGATCCTCGCCGCTGACATTATGATGCAGGGATATAAACGCACTGGCAAATGCCGCCGTAGATTCGTTCATGAGACCGACCACGAAGACCATGGCCACGCAGGATATAATGTCCGCATGGTTTTGGATCACGAACTCGTGGCTCAGGATTGGAGGATTCTTGTTGCTGGTCTTGCGACCGAGTCCCGGCTTAATGGCCATCTTTCTGGTGATTCAGGGGGTTCTGGAATAGGGGTTGAGTTGAGTTGGTTATAAAAAGACTACTGGCTGTGTCATTTGATCCTCTGGTGGCTTCAAAAAATTTTTCTGTAGAAGGGCATCTGTTTGAATACAGTAGTTTTGTAATAGCTCTATATTTTTGATATGTTTGGTATATATATGACAAGCATTACCTGCAAGATATTATCTTAATATTGTTTTAAAATAAAGATATAGTTTATTTCTTACGAATTCTTTGATACAAAATGTTACTTTCCTATTAATGTTGCGGTGTTTGGTTAGTAGTAACTGGAGTATTCTTGAACGGCTCCTGTTGTCGATAAGTATTTTACACTTTTCCTACTCAAAACTTATCATTAGTCAAGATCCTCTTTCAGTTAATACCAAAAATCTGTTATCGACAAGGGCGTGCTTACAAGCCATATACAAAGCAATGCCTACTGTTTTCCTTAACCACTCAACACTCCTATAACTATTCATATCTACAGTATTGATGATGTCCCATCTCCTCCAACATATTTTGTGAATCCAACTGTTTTTAAAAATGGGAGCTTGCTTTTATTTTCTTTGAAAACTATTCCCAATTCATCTTGGTTTTGTAATATGTTGTCCTGGCACTTTGAGGAATTACTACTGTATTTAAGATGCTCCTCCAACCACAAACACACAATTTGCCTTGTTGGCATTGCACACACATACGCAGCCAAGGCTGAGCGCTCCCACTCACACATACGCGCACATTGAGAGACTCCAAGAGACACGCTGGCAAATTGTTGTGGTTGCCACTGTTACTCACAGGATTATCGCCGTTCCGTTCTCCGTTTTGGCCAATCTTCCAGCCAACTGCTGATGTGCAACGTGATTTTGCTGACGTAGGCGTGTTGCGGCTGGCACACAGTAGCGGCTCCGATTCGGGTCTTGATCTGGAACTGAATCGGCACACAAACTGAAATATCTGCTCTGGGCGCTCTGCCTCTGGTGACTGCGCTGCCTCTGCTCACCTGTGTGCCGCGTGCGCGTGTGTGCGTGCGTGTGTGTTTGACCAGGGATGCCACATCTATATCGGGCATATTTTTTTAGCTGCACTTTTACACACTTTAACTATTATGCACCGTTGCACTCCTTTGCCCAACCATTTTTTGTTTGATTTTATTTCGCTAGCAATGTGTATTTAAAATTTTTCCCAAACTCCGCTGTTTTTCCATTTTGTGCAGCCCTGACAAAAGTTGCCACGCGTAAAACTCTCGCCATTCGCGCCATCTCGCTCACACGCAGACCGGCGTGCGGACTTTTTCTCTACCGCATTTTCAGGCGTTCGATTTTTCATGTTTCAAATATTTAGATTTTTTGAAATAGTTGTGGTTTTTGACCTACCTATCGCTTACACAAGCTTGGCGACCATTTTCATTGTTAACCAGGGCTGCAGCGCCTGTAACGTTTTTGGGGCTGATTATTTTGTTTAACGGTCTTGTTTTTGTCCGGTTTATTTGATTCACTATTTTCTGCTTTACAATTTGTTTTTCTCACACACCAAATTCAAGGACTTTAACTTTTTAAGTAATTTAACTTTCACTGGGCGACTGTTCAGCCCTGTTGAAAGGGCTGCCAATTCAAGGGCTGGTCTCACCATAAGCGCGTAATTTGAATGTTAAGGTTTCAATAAGGTAGGAAACTGCTTAAACTAAGTTGTTAAATGGTATTTAAGTTGCATACCCTTTTAACAACATATGTATTGCTAGTTTAATTTAAACAGATCGCATGGCTGTTTACACATCAAACCATAAATGCCTCGAAATGGACTCGAGCGCACGCGACCCACAACCCACATTCTTCTAGTTCGTTGGTTAAATTAATTGCATTTTGTACTCACATTGCGATTTCGCTTGCGGACGGAGGACACAATGGTGCGCTTGTTGCGTGCCACCAGGCAAACCGTTATTATCAAAATCACTCCGATGAGGGCGAAACCCAAAAGAGCGGGCAGCAGAACACTGTCCTCGTCCTTGTAGCCCTGCAAAAGAGAATTGGGTTTAATTATTGTCTGAATTCGACAATAGGGTCACCTGGTAATAGTATTCTAGCTATAACAGTTTGTGCCCAAATCTGCCCAAAAAGGAACCCTGCAAAGCCTAGCCTGTGTGGATACAGGGACTCTCGACCTACTTTCAACCCAATGTCATCTTAGAATGATGAATTGGTTCATAAAATAAGCATAAAAAATTTCGCTAGCGGTACTGAGCCACTGAACCCCTTAGTACAGAATATACGAAAACGATTGCGTGCGACTTACGGTCCATTGGAAGTAGGTCGAGGGATCAATGTAAGCCCAGTGCGTTTTTATCCAGGCGCTGTTGCTCCTTCCATTGCCCAGGCCGATTCCCGAGTCCGAAGATTGTTCTTCCGTGTCTGATTGTACTTGTATCCTGGAATTTTGGCCAGCTCCGTTCTGAATTTGGGGTTCCTTGGCTTTGGCCAAAACGGGTGGCATTATGGGTTTCTTGGCAGCGGATTTCAGAAGGGGAACCTGGATGATTCGGGTGGTGATTGTGGTGGCAGGCGGCGAATACCGCGGTGTGGTCATTGGGTGCTCCCTGGTTGTAGTAGTGGTTGTTGTTGTAGGAGCTTGGGTGGTTGTCGTGGTAGTTGTGGTGGTGGTGCTGGTACTGGAGCTGCTGATGGTGGTTGACATGGTGGTGGAGTTTCTGGTGGTACTGGCATTCAAATTGGTTTTATTCAGGCGGATTATGAACTGTTCGATACCATTCCGGTTAACAATCTGCACATTTCTTCCCACATTTTGCTGTAGCAGGGGAGATCCTGTGGGTGATATGGAATTCCCGACAGCCTCTCCACTCCCCCCCGATCCTCTTCTTTGTGAGCTATGGATCAGCGCCGCCTTAGTTTTTAAGAACCATTCTGTAGGATTTGGTAGACACTCGGCAGAAACCAAAAAGGGTATAAGCACGGCTCCAATGATCACGGTGCACACAAAAATTAAGCCCAAATAGGCGAAGAAGGACCGCCGTCGTCGCTGGCCTTTGGCCTTGACGGGTCCTGGAGAAGAGGTTGAAGATCCGGAAGACGAGGCTCCTCCGCCGGTAGAGGCCGAACGTCCTGAGCCTGAAAGTTTTCCCTCGATGCGGAAGTCGTCGTTCTGCGGCAAAATCGTGTACTGCAGACTATTTTCCCCGTGCCTAATGGTTTTATACATTTTGTTGTAATCTTTGGATTCGCCTCGGATTCTTCCGGAGCTCCCTCGTTCTTCTTTTTTTCTAGCTTGGTGCAAATTTTTGTTTTTTTTAAGCTCCCTCTTTATTTTTGCGGATTGTTGATTGCTTCCTTAGGTTCTTTTGCTTGTGGCTTCTTCTTCTCCTGGAGGCCGGTTTGATCCTCAATTGAACCCAAATCAGATCTTTCTGTTTTGTTCCTGGAAATAAAACTTCTTTAACTTCTCTTCTTCTCTCACTTTTTCTTTCCCATTACCTCTTTAACGGAAAGTACTCAATATTCGCTCACCTTCGATTTTCTGCAGGTGTCCGGGTAAATAACTTCGTATCCTTTTTCCACGATTTTACTGCAAATTGTGTGCCCCCCAGCTGTACAAAAATTACTGTGTTTTGTTGTCGTCCCTTAGGAATATTATTTTTGTTCCTGTTTCTACTTCTGATGCTCCTTGCGCATTAAATTTTATGTTTTTATTGATTAAGCTTTTGTTGTTTTTTGGCGCACGCGCATTTTATGAGTGTTGCATTGGGCTTGCCGCAAAGGATATTTTCCAGTGCTGACAAGGGAAATCGGTAATTTAAATCTCTAAATATGCAAATAGTTATTCAACAAATAAATAAAATAGTTTAAAAATAAAGTTATGAAATAAACTTTTGCCATAGGAACGATCGGATAATTAATTTCAAAAGAATACAAAGAACGTTATATTTCGTTTTCGGAAAACATATACAGTTGTAAAGTGATATGGAATATTTTCTTAAAATTTCTGTAATTAGTTTTAAGCTTTCTAAAAATCAGAAAGTTCTGTACATACAATGCTCCCACGGAAACGACCTGCTATTGGATCAATCAGAAATTGCGGCCGCAGACAGATCCAGATTTACGAGGTAGTCATATACCGATAAGCCAAAACCGAGGGTTGGGTTGAAAAAAAGGTTTCAGCGGTAGCTTATCGGGGGTCGATAAGCGGAAACCTAAGTATTTTCCTCGCGCAATGTGCAGTGGGTTTTTAGTCACGTAAAATATTCCAACCCCTTAACAACATCTACCGGGAATAACGAATTTTTCCAAAAACGATCACAACAAAACATGGTGTTTCTTTTACTCCTCGGTCTAATCTTTGGGATTCTAATAACCCTCGTGGTCGTTGTACTTAAGCTTTTGGGCTTGAAACCGCCATTAATTTTTGATAAATACCCACTGAAAGGTATCTTCTATAGGGTGAAGTTTTGGATCGCTCTATTGGTTCTTCGACGCCTGAGATACCGTATCTATCGAAGGAATGAGTTTTTGCTCGGATCTGACGATCATCTGGCTAAGATTGACCGGCCCCAAGAGCTTAGCAACGATCCAAAGAGCTACGATGTAGTCAGCTTTATGGCTGCCAATAAAGAGGGTCACAAATTGATGGTTACTATGGAGAGAAGAAGGCGTGGAGTTCTGAAGGCAGCTTTGTACCTATGGCTTCCAGAAAAGGGATTGTTCAGTTCCCCAAACTTGCCCGATATGATATATTTCACAACCGAGGGTGGAGAGGAAAGCCGCGAGTTCCAGGGTGGAGGTTTCCATGTTTATCTAGAGGAATGTATGAAAGTTTGGCGGATTAAGTACAAGGGTGTACTGAAGAGTAATGGAGAGGTGGTAAAGAAAGTACCTGTGGAGCTGAACCTCCGTTTCAAGAGCTCTTCCGCCGAACATTTTGATTACAACCGGGATCTCAGTTCCTCTTTGATAGCTGACTCCATAGCCAGAGAAGCCTGGAATGAGAAATTCTATAGTCTTATGCGAAGTGTCAATCACATCGTGGAAAAGCGAACCCACTATGAACAGAGTGGAGAGCTCGCGGGAAAAGTCAACTTTAATGGCGAGGCTTTTTACCTGAAAATGCTTGGCTTTCGAAACCACAGTTTCGGAACCGAACGTTGTCTGAGCTCCATTAACCGGTACGTGTACTTCGCTCTGTTTATGGACGATGGCAGCAGCATGGTTGTAGGAAATCTCAGCCAGCCCTCCTTTTTCCTTTCCTCCCTGAAGGTCGGTTACGTCTGCAGTCCCTCGGGAAAGTATCAACCCCTGACTGAAAGCAATTTCGAGCTATATTCTTACGGTGAAAAGGGAATTCCCCCTCAGCACCAAAACTTCGTTGTGCGCACCGAGGAGAAGGAGTACCTCATCCAGATCCAAGTTAAGGAATCAGCTGTGCGGTATGTGGGGGTAGATTGGGAGTCCAAAGTCTTCAATCAGTTTGTGGCCTGTACGGTCAATGGAGTTTCCGGTCAAGGACACGCAGAGTTCCTCTATCGCCACAAAGGCGGCAGGCCGGATGATATATCTTCTAGGGACCCCAGCTGGTACCAAATCATTAAGCAATTCGAAAGGAGCCTGACATTGCTGGATGTGGAGGATGGCGATTTTATCTTCTAGGAGTCCAAGGAACCATTTCATTTATTTTTGTTTTTTAATTTAAGGTGACAAATGGAGCGTCCATAAAAATACACTTTATTTTATTACGAATTTATAATCAACTGGAAATTAAAGTTCGCGCAACGTAATTATTTTATACAAGGAATTTCCTCATCTATGTATATATTGGTACACCAAAAGTGGCTGGCTTATGCAATCTTTCAATCCAAACCTTGTTTATTATACCCATTACTCGTAGAGTAAAAGGGTATAACAGATTCGTCGGAAAGTATGAAACAGGTATAAGCGTTTTCGACCACATAAAGTGCACATATTCTTGATCAGGATCACTAGCCGAGTTGATCTAGCCATGTCCCTCTGTCCGTATGAACGCTGTTATCTCGGAAAATATAAAAGCTGCAATACTGGGATTAGGCATGCAGATTCTAGAGATTCCTGCTCAGCGCAAGTTTGTTTCGTCAGTGTGCCACACCCGCTCTAACGCCCACAAACCGCCCAGGCCTGTGCCGCCCACAATTTTCATTCTAGAAAAAAAATTTAACTGAAATGTATTAGTCTCGTTTGTGCCTATCGGTTGACCCAAAAAAGATTGCTGCGCAAACTTTGACGCCGACAAACCGCCCAAACCTGTGGGGCCCACAATTTTCATACTATTTTATGCCCCACAATACCATACATTGAGACCGTGGGTAGGTGGTAGAGGTGCAGAAAACCTCGCTCTTCCAATGTTTTAAACACGGATGTAACATCGAAAAACATCGATGTTTCTGCACCTCTACCTCTACGCCACCTAATGGCGCATTACAATTTCGCTTTGCTGCTTAACGGGTATCTGATAGTCGAGGTACTCGACTAAATCGATCTTCCTTGTTTATTCTATCAAATTAAGTAATTTACGGAATGCGACAAACAAATATATAAAGTGAAGGGGATCGGGTGCATCTGCAATCTAATATAGTGTAGAAAATCTCCCTTTTCGTACCATGTCCGATGGGAAGTTCGACCCCCGGTGCAGAGAGAAGTACTCTCCTCTCAACAATCGGTTGCAGGTCCGTCGAAAAAAGAGGGCCAATCGACAATTAATGGCAAGCTGCAGGCGAACGGAGAAGTCAAGAAACGGATAAGATTGGTCAAGCAACCCCCCTTCAACCAAGTCCTAAGAACTACCCTGATTCAAGTGGTCCGGGGTTTCCCTCCATAAATATTCGCGTGACGGTCGGATTATATGGGGCATAAAAGACAACTGTGCTAACTTATCGCTCTGTTAGGGCATAAAAACACAAGACTAAGCGCCCAGGTGTGTCAGGAAGTACCGAAATCGGTTCTTTAAAATTGAATATAGGAAATGCCAATAATATCACAATAATATTTTCATAGTGAGTTCCGACCTGCAGCAATGTCAATTAACGATTTCCTGATAAGTCACGACCATTATTAGCCTCGTTTATATCCCATATCTGTCATATACACAGGTACCAGCGATAATCATTGTCAAATTCTACCCACCGACTTACCTAGAATTCAGTCATATCATGCATTGTTAACAGAAATCGACTTGATTATTTATGCACGTATCTATTAAGTGGTTTTCCCTTAAAGGTAATTTTATTCATAGTTAGATTACAGAGTTATTAGATTATTTATTGGCAAAACATGCGAGTCATGAAGATAGGAATTTTCCATAGAAGTCAAGGAAGAACATCGATTCTTCTTATTGCTTTCTACTAATCGGTTTACTTTAAATAATTTTAATTAATAAAAATTTTTATAATTTTGACTAGTTTTAATGAATTTTTTTCAGGGCATTCAACAAAAAACACCTGGAGGTATACTATTCACCAAAAGTCTGAAAAGTATAATTATTCTTATAGACTCAAAAATCGACATTCGCGCTTGAGCTACAGCGTACCCGTTTCTAGTAGCTATCTTCCAAACTGTCATTTTGTAGATCTATAACAGCACAGTACGTTGCTGGGCTTACGATTCCTAAATTTTGAAGTTGCTATCCTACCAAATTTCACAATGTTTGAGATGGGAAATAGTCCGGAGAAGGTTCCCCAGGGGGAGAGTACCGCGGATTCGAAAGCAGATGAAGTCAGTGAGTCCGTCCGCTCGCTGGAGACCCATGCCACGGAATCCACAGAGCCGGCTTTGAGTCCGGCGGATTTGCCTGCCCGCAGCCGGAAGGCGTTTCTGCGGCACATGATCGGTCAACTACCGGAATGTGTTCAGAACCGCATACGAGCACTGAAACAAAATCAGCTGCAACAGGTACGCATTTCGGAGCAGTTTTTCCGAGAGGTTTACGAACTTGAACGGCGATTCTACGGCCAGAGTTGCGCCCTTTTCGATGCGAGGCGGGATATTTTAGATGGTTTAGTAGAGCCACCTTTCCAAACGGAAACCTCCTGGCCCGACGACCCGCAGGATTCGTTGTTTCTGGACTTTGAGAATAACGAGGAGCTGCGCCAGTTAAGGCTAAAATTGCCCCAAGTTTCTCCGAATACTTTGGGTGTTCCACGCTTTTGGTTGACTGTCTTCCAAAATGTCCCCCTGCTCTCCGAACTAGTTCAGGATCACGATGAGCCGCTGCTGGAATGCCTCGTAGATGTGCGATTAGCTTACGATCAGGATAGCTACACGGTTAGCTTTCAGTTTCGACCTAATGGCTTCTTGCACGATTCTTCGCTGCTGCTCACGAAGCGCTACTTTTTGCAACACTCGGCGGATCAGGAGTATCCGTTTTTGTTCGAGGGTCCGGAAATAGTGCGCTGTGAGGGCTGCCATATCCATTGGCGCGATGGCTCAAACCTCACGCTCCAAACAGTGGAAGGCAGGCGAAGGAATAGATCCCGCAGTGTCACCAAGGTCCTGCCCCGCGAGTCTTTCTTTCGGTTTTTCGCTCCGCCCCAGGCCTTAGACTTGTCCCTTGCGGATGAAAAAACCAAGCTAATTTTGGGCAACGACTTTGAAGTGGGTTTCTTGCTGCGCACGCAAATTGTCCCAAAGGCAGTGCTCTTCTACACTGGTGATCTGGTGGATAGCCTGAACGAAGGCACTCCAGACAACCGCTCCTTGTCCTCGGATACGGATCAAGAGCATCTCTTGTGAATATTGCCCGCTGTAGAGCAACAAAATTATAAGTTCAAAAGCGTTCGACTGTTACCGATCATAAATAAAATTGTATTGTTTTGCGACAATCACTACAAGCATTTGGGTTAACCCTTCTCTAAGGGCTACTTAAATATGCTGGTGTAGTACTCCTCCTCCAGATCGTACAAATCCATGGCCATTTCGTCGCGCAGTTTCATTAGCTTTTTGTCACACTCGCTTTGCGTATTTCTAAACAATTGCGAATTGTTTGTGATGGCCTCGTTCACAGAGTGGAAATCGTTGAGGATAAGGTACTGCTTCAGGTCAGCCACTAGCTTCATAAGCGACTCGCCGGCGCGAACTAAAATAAGGGGTATAGTTTAGGGATTTGGCTCCGATCTTCTGGGAACACAATAACTCACCCATATTGGCCGCGCGGACTTGCATTTCCAGAGCATCCTGTTCGCATTGCGTGGTCTTTGAAATCTGACTATGACTCTCACGGCGCGCCAGCTTGAGGATTTCTGGAGGGGATAAGTATAATTATCTATACCAGGTTGCCTATGTACTGCATTTATACCCTCAAAATTCTCCAACATGCTGCGAACGTCATCTTTTAAGCGCGCATTGTAGGATTTCAAAAGCGCCTCTTTTGATTGCGGCAATATCGTCGTCCTGGACCCGCTGGCCATTGTTGATACTTCTTTGTTATGTGCGTAAATAAACAATAAATAAATGGCCAATTTAAACTGAGTGTTTACTTTAGGCCAGATAACGATAGGCATTTTTTCGATAACGCCCTATCGACGATTCGTGAGTCCAGGGTGCAGCAACAGATTCCAATCGGTAAACTGGTTCACTAAACCGGGTGACTCCAAAATGAACCGAGGCTTAAACCCGAAATTTTGAGTGGTTTTTGCCGCAAACGGTGTATTGGCAAAAATTGTTATCTAAAAAAATTAAGATTTCTACCAAATATACCTCAGGAATTAAACAAGATCGGGAGCAGAGAATGACCGCGTTCAGCAGAACAACATGATCCATCAGTAATCAGTGATCAAGTTTGTTCTGCTGAACGCTAACGACCTTAAAAAGGTAAACAAGTTTCCATGAAAAACTCCACTATGCACAATAGAGGTGCAGAAATATCGATGGAAACATCGTTCGTCCTCAGTTTTTTCAGTATTTTTGTGTTCGAACGTAAGCAAGCATAAGCAACCGTAAGTGTTTGTAAAAAAGGGAGATAGCAACAATGTGTCAGTTAAAAAGCGAGATAGAAGATTTTTGCTCTTGCTCTCCGAAAAGAGAGCGCGCCAAAATGGTACCTAGATATGTGTTTAGGTACAAGTATTTAACACTAGTGGCGGCACTCTCGAGTACCTATCGGCAGCGGTGCAGTCAGTCACTACTGCGTTATCGATAGCCGATATCACATATATACCTTTCAGTATTGCCAATTTAGCTATTTTCCGCCTAGATCTAGAATGTTTTAGCGAGTGTTTAGCCAATTGAAAGGCTTTGGAAACCTTGAACTTTATATTACACTTAAATATTGGTAATTAAACCTTGGTTATGTAAAATAACTTTTTAAACATTACTTCTTCTGCGTTCGTTAAATAGTTAAAATGTTGTGTCAAACCATAATTGGGGAAGGTCTGAATTTATTATGATTGTACAAAAAGTGTTTAGCCAATTAAGGATCACTGGAAATCGGATGTTTGAAATTGGGTTTCACATGTTATCCGAGCATACTGAACTGAACGTATCCAGTAAAATACTTAAATAAATGTCGACAGCTTCATCTCTTTTTAGCTACCTTTAAAATTGTTTGGCTATTTCTAGCTTTTTCTAAGTATAGCTTTTTTATGGCCCGAAGGGTTGGCAACACTTTTTGTAGACAGTAAAAAAAACGTAATTTGTAGAAGGTGAAGAACAATTCGCATCCAGGACGACGGAGTATCCTTCCGGAGTGTGATGCATTAATGCTAAAGTCGATAAGCGGAGGCGTTGGCGTGGCATCCACGGAAAGAGGCGGCGGGGGAGGAGCTGACCGGGATCGAGACAGGGACAGAGGATTAGCCAATAACAGTGGCGGGAGCACTCCCGCCGGAATCCTTTATTGCCCCGCCTGTGTGGCAGCTGCCAATCAGCATAATCCTAGCCAGAACTCGAGTCCCCAGCACGAGGGCTTCTTCTCGCGCAGCTCCTCCAAGTCAAGCAAAAGGAACAAGGCCAGAAAGAGCGCCTCCACCGCCGGCTGCTTAGACGCCCAGCACATTCGGACCAATCTCCGGATGTCCATGTCCAGTTCTATGAGGAGTACTAGGGGCCACGGAGCAGGCTCCTCGACTTCGCATCCTCCAGGCAGCAGCTGTAGCAACGGATCCGGAGGATTCGGATGCGGACTGGCCTATGACGTGGCCAGCAATGCCAGCAGTGGAAGTGGCAGTGGGAGTGGAAAGGTCGCCTCCCCGGGGAGTTACAGCTGCAATGCCCTCAATGTGGACTTTACATCCTACACGGCCACTCATCAGTGGACCCGTATGCTCGAGTGCGCCGAGTTTGTGGGAGCCAAGTGAGTAGCAAAACTTTATAGCTGGTATTAGCTTGGATTCAACCGAAGGCGGATTTGGCAATCACCTACATAGTTGAGAAATATTGAGTTAGGGGTTATGACTTCTAATGGAGATATCTGACTCCATTAGAGCTATGCACCGTTTTGATCCATATTAGCCATATATATAGCCAATTTGCAGATCCATAATATTTTTCTTCTTTCTCAGACGGAGCAAGCACACGGTAGTGGCGTACAAGGATGCAATGTTCGTGTTCGGTGGTGACAATGGCAAGAATATGCTAAACGATCTGATCCGCTTTGGCGTTAAGGACAAGTCGTGGGGTCGCGCATGTGCCACAGGAACTCCACCTGCTCCGAGATACCATCACTCGGCGGTGGTGGCTTGCAGCTCAATGTTCATCTTTGGGGGCTACACCGGCGACATTCATTCCAACTCGAACTTGACCAACAAGAACGATCTGTTCGAGTACAAGTTCCAGAGTGCCATGTGGGTGGAGTGGAAGTTCTCCGGACGACAGCCGGTTCCGCGATCTGCGCACGGAGCAGCCGTGTATGACAACAAGATGTGGATCTATGCGGGCTACGATGGCAATGCGCGGCTTAACGACATGTGGACACTGAACCTTACTGGAGAAAATCACCAGTGGGAGGAAGTTGACCAGTTGGGCGATCGCCCGCCTACGTGCTGCAATTTCCCCGTGGCTGTGGCCAGAGACGCAATGTACGTTTTTTCGGGACAAAGTGGCTTGCAGATTACCAATTCGCTATTTGAATTCCACTTTAAGACGCGAACTTGGCGCCGCATTTCCAATGAACCCGTCTTACGAGGCGCTACCTCAGCTCCGCCCTCGCGAAGATATGGGCACACGATGGTGCATCATGATCGCTTCTTGTATGTCTTCGGGGGATCGGCGGACTCGACGCTGCCCAACGATCTGCACTGCTACGACTTGGACTCGCAGGTGTGGTCCGTCATCCTGCCGGAACAGAACTCGGATGTGCCCTCGGGAAGAGTGTTCCATGCCTCGGCCGTCATCTGCGATGCCATGTATATTTTCGGCGGAACTGTGGACAATAGTGTAAGGAGAGGAGACACCTATCGTTTCCAGTTTTCCTCGTACCCGAAGTGCACGCTGCGTGATGACTTCGGTAAGTTCTTTCTAGACAAACAGTTCTGCGACATTCAATTTATCGTTGGAGCGGAGGAGATTCGCATACTGGCCCACATCGCCTTTGTGGCAGCGCGTTCGAAGTACTTGAGAAACAAAATATTAGCTGCCCGGGAAGCCCGCCAGCAGCAGATGGAGAAGGTCTATGGGGTGGGACAGGTGGATGCACTGGCCCTGAACACGGGCGTGGGCGGGGACCGCGGACCCATGTTGGAGGTGCGACTGGCCCACGCTTCCCCCGAGGCCTTTGACATCATACTGAACTACATTTACACCGATCGAATAGATTTAAAAGATACGTATAGCAAGAACATCATCATTCTGATCACGGATATCTACCAACTGGCCGGATTATTTACGATGCCGCGGCTGGCCCACGGCTGTATCCAGTATTTGGACTACAAGATCAACAAGATTAACGTTTTGGAGGCACTCTATAATGCAGACAAAAGCAAGTAAGTGAAGAAGTATATTTTTTATATCGTATCTTTACTTTACTTTGTAACTTAAAGTAATATATTTGAAAACTCTCCACCATAGCATTAAGATCATTAAAGATCACTGCATGCAGTTCATCATCAAGGATGAGAACTACCCCGAGGTGGTCATGTCCAGCGAGTTCAGCGATTTGGACAAGTCCTTGCTGGTGGAGATCATCCGCAAACGTCTGCATCCCAGCAAGGTTGTAATAGACACTAGCTATGAAGCCAATATAGGTGAGATGAGTGTATGCTGTTTCAAATCCTTTTATAAAGACCCATTTTGTAAGCAGGAACCACTTTGGAGATTGACCTGTGCGCATTTTTGGAGTCAACTGGCAACGATTTTTGCGATATAAGCCTCGTCCTAGAGGATCATGTGATACCAGCCCACAAGTCGGTGTTATCATCACGTTGTACTTACTTTCAGGGCATGTTCCGATCTTTTATGCCACCGGATAACACGGTCAACGTAAGTACATTTACATTTTGTAATTTTAATGAAAATAATTATTTAATGTTAAATGCACCCCCATGCACTACATTAAATTAAGTGAGAAAAAAACTATATATAAGAAAACAAATGCATAAAAAAGGAACACCGATCTTATAGTCTACAAAATTTTGCTTTCATCCAGATCCAAATTGGAGAAATTTCACCATCGCTTGAGGCGTTTCACTCCCTGCTGCGCTACATTTACTACGGCGAAACGAAAATGCCGCCTCAGGATGCACTTTATCTCTTCCAGGCACCCTGTTTTTACGGATTGGCTAACAATCGGCTCCACGCGTTCTGCAAATACTCCCTGGAGCACAACATTACCTTTGAAAATGTGCTACAGACCCTGGAGGCTTCGGACATCACAAAGATCTATGACATTAAGGAGTACGCTCTCAAGCTGATCGTCAAAGATTTTGCCAAGGTTGCAAGGCTGCCGAAGATTGCCGGTTTGTCGCGCGAACTGTTGCTGGAGATCATACGCGCTGTGGCCGATTCGCACGGCGAGTTTCTTACGCGGATCAATATCAATACAGATATCTGAAAACTGGTGTTGCTCCAGCCGGCATTGCAGTTGTTGCTCGCCTGGTTGCAAATCGGACGTAGCACGTAATGCGGCAGTAGCGGTTGGCAGCGCCGAACGAAATCCATTTAATATTAACCGATCCATCCCCATCAATCCTCCTCTGCATTTGGTCAGCGATCCTTACATATTCCGATCTTACAAAACGGTCTCTTAAGGAGACTGCACCAGGATGAGTGAGAGGGAGCGATAGCTACATAACGAGATGTATTCCTATTCTTTAGTTGGTGGTAGACGGATCTCAGCAGCATCGCTTTGTCCGAATTGCTTCAAACGGTGCATCGCTAATTCTGTAGGTGCAGCTTATTGAACGCCCACAACCAGCTGTATATATATATATATATATATATTAACCGACAATGCACCTTCAATCAAATCAAACAAAAACGCTTTGGAAAAAAGCCCAACCAATCGCCAATTATACTTCTATGAAAGGTGAAACAAACTTCATCTGAGTTTTGCTAAAACATTTGTTTCACAACATAACTTGATTTTGGTTAAGAAATTTAGTTCGAGCCAGAGAGATGCAAACTCTTTCCGCCTATCAAAGCTGGCCAAAGGAACTTTACAAAAAGAAGGTTAGTGTGATTAAAACTTGGAAATACAAAATATAATTTAACTTGTTTTTCAGGAATATGGTGCCTCTGCTTTAACAAGATGATTCTTAATACAATTACTTTTTCAGAAAACAAACAAAAGTCCTTAACTTGAATATGTGTTTTAATTTTTAAACTATTTAAAATAGAAAAAACACTTCTTTTTTACTAAAGTCCTTTTTAATGTTAATATGAACCAAAAGAGGTAGACCTTTTCCATGAGGTTTATTTTAATGTACTATATATCTATACTATATATCTCCCTTAAAATAACAGTTACTTGGGACTTTTATTTTACTAGTCAGATATTTGTGTGCTTTCGATCTGCTTTTGCTTTTCAGGCTGGGTCATTATTTTCTTGAGAAACCGCAATTTTTTATTTTGGCTAACTTAAAGCAAAAAATAAGAAAATATTTGATGGATATTGAATATTGAATTTTTAAAGATCACAAATAAAAGTATCGTAGAGACTTATTCATAATAATAAAATTGTGAAACTGATATTTATATCTGAATTTAATTTTTTGGTTTTTAATAATAAGAGCTATTTTCCGAGTAATGAACTAAACTTGTGAAAAATTATTTGTTTTGCTGTAGTCCAAAAGAAAAGTAATAACCCATTGAGATTAGACACCTGGACGCTTAAAATTGTTTCCTTGTGAATATAAAAAAATATTGTTTTATACCCTTGCAGAGGGTATTATAATTTTGGTCAGAAGTTTGTAGAGCTGTAAAGGAGACGTTTGCGACCATATAAAGGATGTATGTACTTAATCGTCATCACATATGTATGTGCTATTGTCGAAGTTAGCTTCCGTTCTTATTGTTAGCTACTTTTAAAATTCGTAAACTTCGAATAACATACTTTGCAAGGTTCCTATGGTCTCGGCGGTCCGGGGGTCTTCCCTTATTGTAGTCCTTCCAAAGTACAACTCAGTAAATTTTAGGGATTTAAAACCAATCGTTTGTACAAATATTTATTTTCGTATAAGAAATAAACTATATTTTCTATGTTATTTAACCTTTGACATTTAATCACCTTATCCACGTACAAAATGAAATAGTTTTGCGCCCAATGAATGTCCCGAAAGTTGTTTCGATGTCGAATATATGCACATATGTATAAATATCCCAATTTTTGAAATTGTGATAAATAAGTTATTGTATTGTGACTATTCCTAAGAAATGTTTTAGAACCTTGGTTTTCATTTCGAATGTTTTCTTTGTAATTTCATTTTAGTTGCTGTTTGACGAGAATTCACAATAAACAATATTATGGTATATTTATGCAAATTCTGTTGATATAAGTTAAATGGAAAATCTTTGTGGGCTTACCGCAAAAACGAGGCAAAATAATGGAATTTAAGACAAACAAACTGAGCCCAGAGTTTCGACTGAGTGTTTCCCAACTGGTTTGGCACAAATAAATTAATTTCAATGGAATTAAAACAAAACAAAGACTGCAGTCGGAAGTGGGAGCTGTCAAAGGGGATGGCAAGGACGCAGGAACTCAGTCGAAACTGTAGCCAAGGCCAGGACAATGACAAGGACATCGCTTCGGGGGTAAGTCGTGCCATGAGTCGCTTATCAAATGCAAATTACAAAATCAAATATGCCAACGGCAGCAGCCTGGAAGGATCTTTTCTTCGAGACGGAAATTTACAGATTCAACTGACAGAAAGCCCAATTGAATTTAATTGCTATGGAGTCAGGGAAAATATTTGGTCTTGCCCTGGCTCTCCATCTCCAGGCTTTTCAGGTGGAGTTCATCCAGTTTTGTGTTGCATATTTATGAGGCCATTTGAGTCTGAAGTCCAAGTCCTTTCCATTCTTGGAATGGACAAGGCTTTACTGCAGATTAGTGCAGCTTGGAGGGGGAATTCGTTCTGAATACCCGATTGGTTTAGCCGGTATTGGCAAATCTAACGGAAATAGGCACAGGGGATCGATTAATGGGATTACTTTGAGGATTTGGATTGTTTTTAGATTTTATTTATTTTACTATTCATTCAATTAATTCAAGCATTTTTAATCGTGCGGCTAATGATTGATCCAAATGTTCGGTTCGTGAGGGGTTCTATATGATTTCATTTCAGCGTTCTCCTTGTTTACTTGGGGCGGCACATTAACTCTTTCCAAAAGTCTAGTTAAGCTTTAACCCCTTTTCGTTTGACTGCAAACCAATCCCACAGTTTAGAAATAAGAGGGAGGAAGTTCAGCATTCCGTATAAGTTCATCATTAAAGCCAAGAGCAGGGATCAATACGGATGTAGAAGGTTAAGATTGGCTCGTTTGATGCTTTTTAATATCCGTTCCATGTGGATTTATGTGCATCAAGTTCACGCTGAGCGGAGGCACATAAATTTCATGTCAATTGAAGCAGTCGAGCCGAAAAAAGTAAGGAATTGTTCTTAAGGCTAGGCTATGGACTATGGGTTACTTATTATTTGTGTTGTGGAAATCCAAACCGCACTCAGAAAAATAAATTTATTTTGAAATAATCTGGCATTTGTTAACATATTAAATAATGATCCGATATAAAGACAAAAATAAAATCTCCATTTGTTCTCTATCTTTAAAAATGTGGGAACCACCTAGCGGCCATAACTTGAGCTGCTCTTAACTTTTATGAACGGTCCGATTTGAACAAATAGATGGGTAAATGGGTATTGATAAACAAAACAAAATCGCAGATAGACGAAAGGCAGATTTTAGCGTTAAGCGATTGTGGGCGTTCGGGTTGCCGTTGCAAATCGGGATAACATACTTGCGCTGCATAGGAACCCCTAGAATCTGTATACTGAATTCTAACTTTCTAGCTCTTATAGTGTTGAGATCACAGCGTTACAATATACCCTTTTACTCTACGACTAAGTGGCACAAAAAGATAGCGGCTGAGAAAGAAAAACTACGTCCCTCGAAAAGGGTTAACTGAATGGGGTATTGGGAGCTCTGAAAATGGTCAAAACATTGACTTTTTGCATTTTTCAAAGTTTTTCCCGCTTTGCCGCCTATTGATGCCGTCCTGCGCCAACTTTGATTCATTTATAGCGACACGTATTTGTATGCCGCTCATGCCCCCTCTGCCACGGACTACGTCCCCGGTTCAGGATTCTTGTGCCACGCATAAAGTGTCATTTCAGCGGCTCGGATGCCTAATTAAAGCCATCAATTTTCGAGGATTCACGGAGAATTGTGCAGAGTGCAGCAGCAGCAAAGTTTAATTAAAAAACCTGCTCCCCTGAAGCAGCCCCATTCAGCCCACGACCCTGTGCAATTGAAGTTTAATTGGCGTACAGACGGACAAAGCTGAAGAGTGACAAGGTATGCAAATAAATGGGTATGCGAGTTAATACTGGCTTCATTATCCATGCGACGGGTGAACTGCTTTAATCTTGAAAGTAATTTTTTCTTGCTGCTGCATGGTACATATTATTGATAAATAAAATCCAGCTCACAATTATAATTTGTAACAAAATTAATATATAAGTTTTTCCTATTTTCCCTACCCTGAACCCCTGTGTTACGGTTTTAAACTATAGAATAGGCAACCTACGGACTTTAGGTCTACGTTGCCCTTTATTTAAGAAATCTTATATTTAACTCAATTCTTTTGAGAGGAATGTGTGTTATGCAAGCGTTTTTAAATTATGTGAGAAACCCTGGCGAGCTTTGACTCCTTGGTGGGGCTTGTTGGCTTGTAACCCCTGACCCCTTCGGATATAATCGTCAACGCATAAATTTCAAGACCTGCCCAGCGGCTGCAATTTACGGCATGGCCGTAAATTTTTATAAACGTCCTTGTAAATAAACTCGCAAATATGCTGATTTAGCTGGGGGCATGGCCTCACGGCTGTGGTTTATTCTATGTGCCATGTGTGTGGCAGTTTTATTGCGACGAGTTTTTTGTTTCTGCTTACCCTGCTGGGTATCAACTGGGGAGTATTAGGCTATATATTATTTTAGAATAGAATATAATATTTCTTCAACCCTTAAAGTTTCTAAGTATAACAAAATAAAATAATTTTTGAATGAAGCAATTCATCTTTGTGAATTTTTTACACCGAACAATAAGGTGCTACGCACATAACAAAAAAAAAAAGGAAGCTAGCTTCCGCAAGCCGAAGTTTCTAAACCCTTCCAGGTCAGTCCCGTAGCAGCATTGTATGAACGGAGCTTTCCGATTTTTGAAAAACTAAAAACTAATTGCAGAAATTTTATGATATTGTTCCTTTTCAATTTACTACCGTATATTTTACCGAAAACTAAATATAACGGTCTTTGTATTATTTTGACATTAATTATCCTTATGGGAGCTATAAGATATAGTTGTCCGATCCGTCTCGTTCCGACTTATATACTACCTGCAATAGAAATAAGACTTTTGGAAAAGTTTCACCCCGATAGCTTTAAAACTTAGAGACTTGGTTTCTTAGAAACGGACGGACGGACATGGCTAGATTAACTTGCCTAGTGATGCTGATTAAGAATATATATAGCTTTAAAACTTAGAGACTTGCTCTGTATTTCTTTTAATATTGGTTAGGAATCGCCCTAAGCTGTTCGGCGAATAGCTTATTTTAAGAATTCGTGAACTCGTTTTTTTCATGTTTCAGTCCGTCCTATACCCATTGTCTAGGGCCTACAACTAGTCGACATTCAAATTCTCAGTCGCTCACTGTTTGTTGTATGCTTTATTTTGATTTCACCGTTGTCCCTTAAGAGGGGTTGGAAAAATATAAAAAAAAATGAAAAAACATATCGTGATAAATAAAATATGAACATTTTATGTTGCATTAACTTACGTTGGCATTGTTCAGCCGCATAAGGAACAGCATATGTGTAATAAAATGTATTCATATAAACAACTGATGGCAGCTCCCAAAAACCAGCAACAACCTAGAATGACAATGACAATGAAAAGAGAGTTAAATATTTGATAAAGCAGCCTTGAAGTTCGCAATAATGTTTTGTTGTTTTATATATCTGTCAACGTATGTTATACGATTCTTTTCTGCATGTGGTTCTTGGTTAACTATTGTATATGGGATACAAAGTCTTTTAAAACAGTTGCAGAAGGGTATCTGGTTGTTGGGTGGACTTGTATTGGCATTCT